ACATGTCATTGATGTCACCTCCAGAAAAGTAAAATTTCCTGGGAGAGAGCTCAATGTAACTAGTTGTGAAAAATCTACCCCCTGGAGCAGTAATAGTTCTGAGCAGTTCCTGAGTATTTAAGCCAAGGCGTCGAAGCAGCTGGGTTACCACCAGTTTTTATCAATCAAGGAGTCATTTTACAAATTGATAGGAACTGGGGATTTTTATTAATACCTGAAATAGTCCCATAGGGGGAAAAAATTGCTCATCTGAAATGCCAAAAGCAATTTCCATGAGAAACAGTGAAAGACTGGTTTGAATAAAAACGGCAAATCCCTCACAGAAGAAAGCATAAAACACTCCAGTAACACACACCCATCCATTACCTCATTAAACATATCTTGAGAAGGATGAGAATTTATAGATGCCTCCCATCTGGAAGTCAAATTTCCTCATCTGTTTTGATTAGGCTGGGAAGACCCCGATGGACCTGGTGTTACACTGGCAGAACGGAACCAAAGCGATATTTGACAGCCTCAAAGAGAACTCCTACAAGACCTCTCGCATAGCTGCGTTCTAGGAGACACGACCGACCGACCGACCGACCACGGGCTTTCTTCAGCTGCTCCTCACCGGTGGTCTTTGGAAGGCCGGGCCCCAGAGAAGAGCAACTTAGTTACAAAACCCTGCTTCTCCTCATCAACCTATGGTCAGGCTGCACCTTGTAAAGTTTCAAGAAAGCACTGGGACATAGGCATTGAAATTTCCCTTAGGGCGACCCACTCTATTTATTTGTATCTATTCCTGTGCATTTACTTATTTATTCTTAAATGAACTCCACTATCACTGATACTCAGATTCTTTATGCTCATCCGTTTGGTGGGCAGAGCTTGATTCGTACACAACGCTCCAGAGCCTTCCCGTAGATAGTCCGTAACCCATGCCAATGAGCAGTGCTCAGTGGCTGCCTATGTGTCACCTCACTCACGTAGGATATTTCAAGGTGTTTCTAAGAGACAAAGGTGATTATTGCCGCCCTCTTTTCTCCTGAATTTTTACTGCTGAAGTCTGAGGCAATGGAAAAGCATACAGTGACGGAAACAGTAGCATGGAAGAGAAGGACAGGAAAGCCAGCCGTTTTCCGGCTGGGCCTGGTATTCCTTACCAAGTCACGCACTGTGCTAAGGTGAAGCGGATGTTGCGAGTGTGAGCGGAGTGCAGTGGAAGGAGTGGGCAACGGGGCCATGCAGAATGGGATTTGCTCAAAAAGATGAAAGTAACGGCAAATTGTAAATGTGTAAATGTATCTTATGTCGTATGTATATTTTATATTCATAATAAAAGCAAACACATTCTAAACCTCTTTCTAAGTACTTCTATAAGTGAAACAGGCCATTTAGATGGGGTGTTGTTATTCTTCCAAGTTTTTCAGATTAGGACTGCCCTGTAGAACAGTATTTCTCAGTAGTTAATATGTATGTGGATCACATGAGGATCTTAAAATGCAGATTCTGATTCTGCCAGGCTCAGACTGGACCTGAGGTTCTAGAAGTGGTGGTATGCCACCACCACACCTTGGGCTGCAAGGTTTGAAAACCACTGATACAAAGGCGTAAGTTCTTGCCTGGCCGTGGTGGCTTAGTGGTTGAACATCGATGAACCTGGATTCCTGATCAGGGCATATGCGCGGTTGCGGGCTTGATACCTGGTGTGGGGTGTGCAGGAGGCACTGATCAATGATTCTCTCTCATCATGGATGTTTCTATCTCTCTCTTCCTCTCCCTTCCTCTCTGAAATCAATAAAACTATACTTAAAAAAAAAAGAATAAGTTCTTTTGGCCCCAATGATGGGGGAAAGAGACCCCTGGTGGGCAGAATGTTTACTACATGCTAAACAATGCTCCTTAAGAAGTTCCATCAGGAATGGACTGAGGTTTAACCATTGCTATGGACAGCTCTGGCAGTGTCAAAGGGCTCCAACAAGAAAACACACCTGGTGGATAACTCCTGATCTCCAAGGCGTTTGTTGCCAGGTGTTGGACCAGGTGCTAAGACCTGTGATGAGAAAATTCGATGAATACTAAGAAATAATCACAGAAATATATATATGGTAAATGCCTGTAGTAAGTACAATGAAGTAAAAAATAGAGTTCTATGAGTCTAAGATGTGGAGGCACATCATCTGATGGGGTGAGGGGATATCTACAAAGACTGCTTAGAGATGGTGGCTTTCAGAAGAATCTGAGGGATAATCTGGAGTAATTCAAGCACAGAACATCCCAGGCAGTGGAGAGAAGAGAGGAAAGGGCAAGGGTATGGGAATAGTGTGGCATGTTAGGAAATGTCTGAAGGCCATCATGAAATACCAGCACTGGTACCCTCCCAGAACTCGCTCCAGACAGTATCACACACATAACCTCTTAGCTATGCCTCCGACACTTTGAGAGGACACTCAGGCATAGTCCATACCAGCTCTTGCAGGCAGCTAGTCATGCACACATATGGAGTTCTGAGGATGGTGTGAAATATTTTTGAAGCTTTTCTATCTAGTCTCCTAATCCAGAGTCAACCTTCCAGGGGCAGCTTCCTTCTATCTCCCTCCCTCCCATCCCCTCCCTCTAGGGTCCTGGCTCTAACTTCTCAGATCCTTAAGGCTCAGGGTCCTTCCCTTTCACAGGCAACATTTCTCTTGCTAATACTGACGTCTCCCATGGCATTAACTTCAGTGTGTTATGATGTGACCAAGTCCTCTCTTTATGATGATTTTCTCCAGTCTCCCTCCCCACAAGAGCGGGAGGGTAAAGAAGAGACGAAGGGGTTAAACACTTTTGTGTTGCCACATATAAAGACCTGCACTAACACAGAGGTAGAGACAACATGGGGTACATCCCCTAGAACAAAGGCAACTCAGTTAGCTCTGCTGAAAAAAAGATAAACAGTTCAGGCAAAATTTTCAAGTCTCTGTTGAATAGGAAGTCAACTTTTACAAGCTCCTTCCTTGTCTTCCCCCCTGAGCCAGCTCTGTCCACAGTCTGTTGTCTTGTGTTTTCTCAGTGAAGGGAATACTCCTTTGGCCAAAGAGACCCCTGGAAGTTGTTCTTGACATTCTCTCTCCCTCACCCTCTTTCAACCAACCACGGAGTCTTCTTACCAAGGACACTGCTCTGTAACCTGCCCACTTCCTCCCATCAGATCACCAGGCCCCACTGAGACCCCAGCTCTGGTTCACTTCCTTCCTGTCTGTTCTCCAAATTGCAGCCAGAGTGATTTTCCTAAAATGCAAATCTGGTCACGTCATTCTCCTTTGAAACATTCTTCAATGGCTTCCCTTTTCTCCTTAATGTTTTCTAAAATCCTTAAAATCAGACAGCTGTTAACTCTAGTCTCATCTATTTCTCATTACTTTCCTAGCTAAACTCTAAATTTCAACTCCACTGAATTTTCAGTTCCTTAAAAAATCCAGGCACTTGCTTTTCTGTTTTTACATGTGGTGGCAGTTCCCTGGAAGGGTCTTCTTCCCACCTCACCCCACCCCACCCCACCCCACCCCGCGGCATCATTTCTCCTTCTTCCTTTGGGTTAGAGCAAGCGTGTCAAACTTGCAGCCCACATGAATATTTTTGCGGCCCAGTCAATATAACAGTATGTAAGAAACGTTTTAATAAAATAATAAAAATTTTGTAACTTCATTTTTACAATGTCCTGTTATACATCATTATTAATAACGAACTACAACGTTCGCTAATGACTGATTACTATAATCGTGTTGCATTCATTTCCCTTACTCGCCTTACGTGCAGGTGCACCATTTCTCTCCACTAATACTAGCAGCGAATATTTTAGCAGCCGATTGCCACATCATTGGTCTTGTCCTGACTTGTTTGGTGTGCACAACAGGAAATATTTTGCTTTCGGAGAACAAGAAAAATAGGTTTATTTGCGTTACGCTTATTAATTTGTGCAGTTATTCAGTGTCTGGTAAGTTAATGTTCAAGAAAAACTATTTTTATTAAAATGTTCTATTATTTTATGTCTTTCAGCCCTTTGTATTTAGCATGTCTCTATCAAAATAAACCTACGCTTCTATGACAATGGAAGCTTTTGTTTTTTTGTGGCCCACATTAACTTAAACCTTGTTTATTTGGCCTGTGTTAGCCTTTGAGTTTGACATACTTGGGTTAGAGGCATTTTTGTCCAGGAAGCCATCTGGACCCCTTCCTTCGGACTTTGTTACTCCTTCCAAGTGTATTCTTATACTTTTTCTCCAGGTCATTACATCTATCACACTGCTTTCATTCCCCAAATGAAAAACTTCCTCTCTCCTCTTGAACAAGCAATACATACTCATTAAGTATTCCGCTAATTGTAGAAACAGATACTGAAAAAAGCTACATCACACCAATAATCCTAATTTCACGGCACTCTGATTTTTCTGTGCACATTACATATGGGCACTGCACATTTAGTTTTATAACTTTGTTCTCAATTGAACCTATTCTATACACCTTTATTCTTGTTTCACTGTACAATGGATCATTTAACTAATCCTATTATTATTGGGCATAAGGTTGTTTTCATTTTCCCATTATTTAAGATATTGTTGCAATGAATATTCTCACCCATGCACCCTTTGTATCTAACCAGTTATTTCTAAAGAAATACATTTACAGGAATATCTATAAGATTGGTATCAAATTATATCCCTTCCATGTTAATGCCTTTCCCCACAATCATGAAAATACTCATTTTATAAATTTTTCAACCTGATCAGCAAAAGAAAATTTTATATTTGGTAACTTTTGCCTGATTACTAAAAAGTTCAGCTCCTTCATGTTTACTGAACATTTTTCTAGGTCAACCTTTTTTGCCCAATTTTCAAGTAAGTCAGGTTCCCTTAAAACAGCACTTGAAAAGAGGATTCTTGTGGTTTACTGAGAATAACTGAAGGTAAGAGGATGGGGTGGGAGAAGAAAAGAGGCGAAGATGTGGCTTCAAGAGAAGTCTCTCTTCAGCCTAATCCCAGGGCGCCCAGGAGCACAAATGCACAGGTGGGCCAACCTCAAGGGGTGAGAGCAAAACATTCCAGGCATCTGTGGGTAAGGTGACACCCATCGTCCAGGACAATCCTCTGGAAAAAGATGGAGATGACCATTCGTTCCCAACACCCGAAGTAGCTGAGGGCTGGGTATACCAGCCTGGAAAAACGGATCTGGGTGGACACTATTGGCATTGGGGATGTTGGATGTTTTTAAAAAACAGTTAAGAGGGGAGAAACCAAGATGGCGGCATAGGTTAACGCCAGAGTTTGCTGCCTCGAACAACCACTTCAAAAATACAACTAAAAGACGGAACGGACATCATCCAGAACCACAGGAAGGCTGGCTGAATGGAAGTTCTACAACTAGGAGGAACCGAGAATCAGAGGAGCCGCAGTGCTGAAGTAAAATACTAAGGTGCGGAGTGCGCGCGGCGTGGGCTGGTGGCTGAGGGCGTGGTTGTCTGTTTCAATCCGGAGGGAGCCTCAGACTCAGAGCTCCAGATCTGGGCGAGTCTCTAGGGACCCAGACTCAACCGGGAGAAGCAGGACTGTCTGGCTACGGTCCCTCCGAGGTTTGCAGCTGTTGCTGGGACAGAGAGGCAGAGCCCCTGGGGACGGACTGAGAGCAGCCATAACTGCTCCCTCCTCCATCCTGTTGATCCCGTGGGACCTGCCCCGCCCAAGCCCTGCAGGGAGGCTTTTGCTGGATAGCCTCAGGCAAAGGCTAGATTAGCACCTCCCTAGAGGACACAAGTTCTTCCACTGCAGACACAGCTGATTCTCACAGCCAGTCGGCCTGGAGGTCAAATCCCTCTAGTATTAACTATAACAATCAAGGCTTAACTACAACAAGACTGCGCACAAAGACCACTAGGGGGTGTATCAAGAAAGCGTAAAAAATGCGGAGACAAAGAAACAGGACAAAACTATCAAGGGAGGATATTGAGTTCAGAACCACACTTTTAAGGTCTCTCAAGAGGCTTCTAGAGTCTGTCGATAAACTTGATGAGATGTACAGGAAATCTAATGAGACCCTCGATGGTGTGATAAAGGACCATCTAGAAAGCATACACTGACTGAAATAAAGAATATTATACAGACTCCCAACAGCAGACCAGAGGAGCGCAAGAATCAAGTCAAAGATTTGAAATGCGAAGAAGCAAAAAACACCCAACCGGAAAAGCAAAATGAAAAAAGAACCCAAAAATACGAAGATAGTATAAGGAGCCTCTGGGACAGCTTCAAATGTACCAACATCAGAATTATAGGGGTACCAGAAGATGAGAGAGAGCAAGATATTGAAAACCTATTTGAAGAAATAATGA